TAATAAAACTGAAGAACTTATACGACAATAATGAGAAAATGCTTTTATTATTAATTTATAACATTACAATAACGAGAATTCCACAAAAGTAAAACAAAAAATTCAATTAATAGAAATTCTAACAAAAGTCACAACTTAACCAATAGAAGAGTATACTATTGATAACACGTTCTAAACTTAAACAACGTCAATGAGCTTCCGTTAAAAGCATGATTGATTCAATCTACTCAAAGTCTCAAAGAACATGTAAAAAATTATATTTACCAAAACACAATTTCTAATGACGTTTTCTTTTGATAAAAACATGAGTTTACTTGGTTTATCCGTATTTTTTCTTTGGTTGCATAATATATTTTGTGATAGTTTTTTTCCAAGTAGCATTCCAAACGTTTTCTGGATTTGTGATACTATGTGTTAGTAATAGGACACAAAACAGCTTGCGTAGATCCTTTGCTGATGCCCAATAACATGCTTCTTTAATAACTTCAATATTTTCTTCATCATAGTCCTTGCAGATAACAGAAGAAGTTATTTTTTTCCATATCTCTGTATTAGATTCTCAAAATAGACATTCATATTTTGTTAGTTTTTTTAAGTACACAGACACATAAGTTATTTTTTCTAAAAAACGTCATTAGATTAAGCTTTGAAGAAAATAAGCAACTTAAAATGTAAACCATAAGAAAATGTAAGATATATATAACAGTATTGATATGGTTGCACGAAAAGTTAGTATCAAATAATATATTCGTATTATTTATTACATTCTTTTTATTGCTATATAGTTGTTCTGAATTTAATGCGTTAACATAAATCATTCTTAATTATTACCAATCAATCTTGTGAATTAAATAAGTAATATAAAATAAGAAGAACAGTTATGAATTAAAAGTATTCAATAGAAACCTGCAAAAAATTGTCAAATTTGTTAGCAACTGTACAATATAAATAATTTAATAGATTTCAAAATTTTATTGAGACAAAATAATATAAAATTTGCATATCACTATTGAAATAAACTGATAAATGATTTGTAGTTAACTACAACCGGTCTTTTGTCTGTGTTATTTATCTGTTAATAAAAAAAACAAACAAATGTAAGAATTTATAAATTTAAATTTTTTTATCGAATAAAAATAGACTAATAAGTTAGTATTGACATCCCTTAGGTGTCTCCTTTATATATACTCTACCTTTCTTTTATATGTTATTAGAGAGATATTTTCATAACAAATGATGTTTAGGAATGTAATTTCATAATAAATAATGAAACAGTTAAAAGAAAGATATTAAAGTTATATTGTCATTAAATGATTTAAAATTAATACGTTATAAACTTGTGCAATTAAATCATATTCAAAATAAGGTAAGTTTTTTAAAACGAATTAACAAATTAGAAACATTAAGGTAAATTGCATTAAAACAATGTAATAAATATGATTTGAAGTTGCGCAAGTAATATGTGTTCAAAATAAGGTAGGTCATTAATCAACTAAAAACATTAAGGTAAATTACATTTAAACTATAGATATTTAAATATTAAATGATATATAATAAGGAAATAATAAATATAAAAAGTAGTTGATATAATTTTTTGATTAATGAATATTACAATATATATTTAATTTTAATTAAAAAGATCATATAATTGCAAACCAAAAAAAAAATATCAATTTTAATTAAAAAAGATCATAAAACAAAATCACAATCAACAAACCAAAGAGATATATATGTATATATAAGCTTATAATTCTAAACAATAATATAAATCTACTAATAAAAAAAAAGTATTGGCAGGACAAAAAGATGCTATTGAAATGATGTAGCTGAGAGATGTTATCAAATAGAGATTTTTTTTTTACCAGATTGAGGAACAAAGATGTTATCGAAATGATATATCAAAGAGGTGTACAATCAAATCATATATAGCTTCAGTGGAGAAATCGTCATAATAGGATATCTGCATATAAACCAAAAGAAAAATCAGCTCTCATGAAATATAAAAGCTTAACGTTCTAAAATAAGAAGAAAAAAAAAGTGTAGAAAATTATTAACATAAAAAGTTCAGACTACAAAGTTCAATGATTTCATTTCTTCTACTGTGAATGTCTTATTTATAGTAAATTGATGGACGTTTCTCAATGATTTAGCTTGCATGATAAGCTAAGAAGTAACATATTCTCTAATAAATTCTCAATAAATCTTATATTTTTAAGGTAATATTATTTTTGGAATATCTTGTTGANTGATTTCATTTCTTCTACTGTGAATGTCTTATTTATAGTAAATTGATGGACGTTTCTCAATGATTTAGCTTGCATGATAAGCTAAGAAGTAACATATTCTCTAATAAATTCTCAATAAATCTTATATTTTTAAGGTAATATTATTTTTGGAATATCTTGTTGATAAAGCTAAAGGAGAACATCTCGTGAATAGATTGCAGCAGAATTTTGGTTTAAGTTTTAAAGGCATGATTTTAGGAGAGAAAATATCTTAGCCATTAATTTTGTTTTAAATGCATGATTTTAAGAGTGAAAATATCTTGTCAATTAATTTTGTTTCTCTGACATCTAAAATATTTAATGAGTATTTAATGAATTAAACGGAGAAAAGATCGCAAAAGAATGTTCTTTAAATCGAGAAAACACAAAAGGTAAGTATTTAAATGGATTTCCTTTTTAGTAGTATCGATGGTAAAAATAAATCAAAAAATAAATTCTAAAAAATCAACCAATAGAATCGCTAGAATTCTTCTGAGAAGGACTCTATGAGTGACACGTGTCAAAGTGACTTCTCTTTTAATGTATAGGGGGATATGAAATAAATATTTAAATAAATAAAAAAAAACAAAAACATCAATACTAAACTCTAAACCCTAAAACATCAATTCTAAATCCTAAAGCCTAAAATATTAGCTCTAAACCCTAAAACATCAATTCTAAACTCTAAACCCTAAAAATCAACCCTAAACCTTAAAATATCAATTCTAAATCCTAAACCTAAACTCTAAACCCTAAACCCTAAACCCTGAACCCTAATAAATCAACACTAAACCCTAAAAGATAATTCTAAACCCTAAACTCTAAACCCTAAACCATAAATTGTATACCCCAAACTCTAAATACGAAACTCTAAAACTTAAATTCTAAACCTTATCTTCGAAACCTTAAATCTTAAATAATATACCCTAAATTCTAAACCCTAAACACTAAACCCTAAACCCTAAATCCTATACCCTAAATCCTAAACTCGAAATCCTAAACCCTAAATTCTAAACCCTAAACTCGAAATCCTAAACCTTAAATTCTAAACCCTAAACCCTAAATTTTAAACCCTAAACCCTAAATTCTTAACCCTAAATCCTGAATTCTTAACCTTAAACCCTAAATTCTAAACTCTAAATCCTAATCCATCAAAATCTTATTAAAATTGTTAAGTTTAGTTAGTTAAGGGTATAATAGTATTTTGCCTATTAAATTTTTAATGGTAAAGTTGGTTAGTGTAAAGTTGAAAAGTGGTATCTTGAAAGTGTTATTTCTGGCAATTTCCCTTTATTAATTTACATAAAATGTGTCTATGTGACACTTATTTAGAAACGGAAAGAGTACAATTATTTTCTGAGAAATTGGTAAATTACATGTTCAGTTGTTTGTTTTTATGTGTCTTCAGTTCTGATTTTCTAAATGGGTGAATTTTAAAAAAAATCTCCCTATAACCCATAAAAAGTTCTAAGAAAAATTAGTTGTCTACAATCAAATAGCATAATACATATGTAATGTATTATAATACAAGTGTGGATAGTTAATATAATTAATTATAATAGTGTTTAAATATTATGGAACCAGATTTGAATATATTGATATACTTGGAATCAATTTAACATTTTGTAGGATCGTCCAAAATGTTATAGAAAACTTAGCATTACTTAAATATTATAATCTTTTAAAAGTGATGTATACTAGTTGAAGAACATTCATATAACTCTATTGAACCCAAAAAGCCCTTTTGTCAAAAAAAAAAAACTCTATTGAACCCAATTTCTTTTGACATAACAATGTCTTTTGCGGCTGCATATAACAACGACCACATTTAGGCTCACATGAAGTAACTTTAAATTATATTTCTACAGATAGCTCCGATTTCGGTTGTGGCAAATTTTTCCACGAAAAATACTGTCGCTACTTGTAGATCATTTGTGTCCACGATCTATTCCGAAGCTTTTGTGTGTCTTTATGTTTGAAAAGGCCATATGTTACATTTTCTAGCTAAGTAGCCACGGATATCCACAGATAAGTAAGTATTTAGTTTGTTTTAAACAAGTCACACCCGATGTAAAAACATTTTTTGACTTGAATCTAATTTGACATTCATTCAGATATCCACAAATTCGGTTATGGATAAGTAAACAATGAATTTTGTCGAGAGTTTTCGTAGAAATTCATATCCACAGTTTATTTTGCAGGAAATGCTGGCTCTGTATATTCGAATAGCCAAAAATTTATTTTGTTTGCTAGGTAGCCACAAAAAGTTAAAATAGCCACAAACTTTGGTTCTTGTAAGCCAGTCTAATTTTGTGGATGTTTTGTAGCTATTTTAGTTTTTCTTACAAAACGTTTGTGGATAAATTTTTTCTTGTAAGGTTACTTTTAAATTGTGGGAAATAGATAATTACAAAATAATATATTTATAGTTTAAATTTAATGTTTTTAATATCTGTGAAACATAGAAACGTATTTAAAAAAAAAAAAACAGATGGAATAACATTTTAAACATCAGTATGTTGTGTTTTCAACTAGTTAAATTAAATTTTCTTATTTTTAAAGTCAATCAGATCTAGATCTACGTATGAGTTGTGGCATAGTTGTTTTATGTTATCTTTTCTTAGTTGTTAATTTTTAGGAATATTCTAGTCTCTCTTTTAGACCCAGAGAAAAATATTTTGTGTATATATACCCCCACCCCTTCGTGTGGTTCTACTCACTTGCAAATAATTCTTCATTTTCTCAGAAGACATCAGAGCACACGACCATCTCTCTGTTGCCTTCAAAGCCTCTTCTTACCATGGCAATGACAGCAACATTGGCTGCTCCATCAACTGGATCTGTCCAAAAACACGATGATGAGTGGCGTGCGGTTTTGTCTCCTGAACAATTTAGAGTTCTCAGGGAAAAGGGCACAGAGTAAGCAAGCTCTAATAAAAAAAATTTAGCTTGTTATATTTTCATAGCATGTTTCTCAAAACTACTATGATTACCCTGATGTAGTAATGTTCTAGTGGTCTCAATATTATTCTGAGTTTTTATCCAGAACTTTTCAGACGAACAAATAATCACTATAACATGTTATTAAGTGTCCGGGTAAGTTATACCACAAATATATTATGAAGTATGCTCTAATTTTATACTTATATATATATAGCATGTACAACGTTGTTTAATGTGTTAAAATATACATGTCAACGTTGTTAAATAGGCTTTTTCATAAAAAAAAAAAAACATTGTTAAATAGCTTAATAGCATAAGCAGCAATGGTTTCTTGCTAGGTTTCTCAACTAAAAATAATAATAAAAATTATCATATTAAAAATGTGAGAAATATGTTTATAAAGAAACTCTTACCACTTTTGAGGAGACTAAAACTACATGTATCATCTTGTGATTGATTTTCGTTTTCCATATTTAAATTTTAATTACATAATAACTTTATACTAATATTAAATGGCTGAGGTACTTAATGAAGAAATTATACCACTAATTATGCTCTAAATGCGTGTACTGATGCACATGTGGTGACTTTTTCTAAGACAGTCCTCCTGATTATTGTAATGATTTTGATATAGGACCCGATTCAAAGGAGAGTATACAAAATTGTTCGACGAAGGAACTTATTCGTGTGCTGGTTGTGCAACGCCTCTTTATAAGTCCACCACCAAGTTTGACTCTGGTTGTGGCTGGCCTGCCTTCTTCGACGCTATTCCCGGTGCCATAAAACAAACTGTATGTAACTAATTAATACGTTCTTATAATTTTGCATATATTTTAGCATATATGTATAAAGAAGATAGATTTGTTTATAACAAAAGTATTTTTTTATATATCTATCAGCCGGAGCCAGATGGTAGAAGAATTGAGATCACATGCGCAAAATGTGATGGACATTTGGGTCATGTTTTCAAAGGAGAAGGTTTCCCCACGGCTACCGATGAGCGTCACTGCGTCAACAGTGTTTCTCTTAAGTTTTCTTCCGAAAGTTCGTCCTGATAAATCGATATATCCATGTAATGTCTGGACCAATTCATCTACTTCAAGAGAATTCCAAAATTGAGTCTTGTTGTTTGAGATTGTTATGTTTCCCTACTCATATGTGACGCTCCCGTGATTGTTGTTGCCATTTGTATGCTTTTTCCTTTCATAATAATAATATATTTTGTTCCATGTTATTTATGCTAGTCCAATGTAGTAAAGTTTAGCTTTCTTTAATCATAGCCGTATTATATATAGTAGGTACATGTGTTAGTGTGTCTGATTCAATTCTTTATTAACGGGTTGTCAATATTATATTCAGCTGAAACTTTGGTTAGCATACCTATAACTTATCAAAAATTAACCCTTAGAGCAACATTAGTGGCAAAATTCTCAATATAAGTTTCTAAACATAAGTATATTAAGATTTTCACATAATTTAACTAAATAACAAAATAAAATAGTATGAACTGAAACTGTGTGAATGAAATTAAGAGCAACAGCTTGGTTGATCATCTCTTTAGATGGAGGAAAAGTCTCTCTGCAACCAGACGATATTTCTCGTAGTCTTTGTGGTTTTTCAATCCTCTCTCCTATTGTTCATTATTTTATTAGTTTTCTAGTAAGAAATTCATGTGAAAACGTACCGATGCGTTTGCTCTTATAGTATGCGTGTGTGGGTTGTCATTTTTTTTTTGACAAAAAACGTGTGTGTGTGGGGTTTCACGGATTTTATTAAATCTTATTTAAATCGTCACTATATAATTTTCTATGTACACTATTGTGAAATTTCGTATACATCATTAACTGGTATCATATTCATCATACACGAATTTGCACTTTGGTTTATTTTAATTTTTAATCAACCAGTCTCAAATTAGATTGTACATATTTTCAGGAGCATAAATTTCTAATCGAGCTCAATGTTTAGCTTCAAGTTTTGTTTAACTAAATGTTTAACGTTATAAGTTGTACTTCAAAAACAATAAAAATATATTATACGTATAAAAAAATTAAAACATGGACGAAATGTATACACATTGATAATAATGTATATATATTATACACAATTTCGAATTCCCAACTTCTCTGAGCCTTTCTGTGGCGAGAAGTTTTTCGTCAACCAATATTGTTGCAAACTTGCAATGGACCAGTAATATAACAAGTTAATTAAGCTACAGTCAGTGGCGGAGGTAGAATCAACTAACCCATGTGCGTCTTCATTGTTTCGCCACTGGCTACAGTACAATTCATATGTTTCAAAAATCAATAGAATAAGCGGAAACACACTTCGCTAACCGTTAAACACGGACCAATAATAACAAGTCATGTAAGTACATTTTTTAACTTGCTAAAAATATTAAAACAATTTAAAGCAAAAAAAACACATTCACTAATCAGTAAATTTTTTACAATATTAAATATATATGTATATATATATTTGGTTAAAAAACATTAAATTCATATTTAGATTTAACTTTTCTTTGCCGACACTAACAATGAAAGTTTTTTAGGTTAATATTACAAAAGTATGCTCAAATCCGGTGGTAATACAGTATTAACAGAAACCATTAAGATAAATTCAAGGTCACACAAACAACAAAGTTGGAATTTATGCTTTCAAATATCATAAACATTTTTTTTTATAGAACTAAACTCCTTTGGAATAAAGATGAATTTTATGTTATAACTATAAACGCATAAATTTAAACATTAATCATAACAAAAAAAACTAGAAATATATTTATATAATATTGTCATATTGCCCTTCATCATTTTCCCCTCTTTTTTTATTTAACTTTATAAATTTAAAAAATTACTTATTCATATTTATTAACAAAAAACTAATATTTTTTCTGTATATGTTTGATTTTAAATTCTTAAAAACCAACATATATTTATAAAACTAAATCTAATTATAAACATATTTTTCTTGTTCTGTTCTATTTACAAATCATAGAATAATTATAACTATAAAACCTCTCTCTCCTCCCCCCTCCTCTTTCCCCCTCCCTCCCCCCTTCTTCCCTCTTTCTCCCTCCACATACTATACTATATGGTAGACCTTCCTCTCTCTTACCTCTCTCCACATACTATACTATATGGTCAATAAATATAAAATAGTAAACTTATAATATTTGTACTATATTAACTCTCATTTTACAAATTATACTTTATCTTAAACATTTGTTTTACGAACATATATGCCTTTTTGTATTATTCACTAATCTACCGCACTAAATCATACAAATAATTAATATTAAAGAATTTAAATTCTTTCCTACGGTTATAATTATGTTTGAAACATTTTGTTCTATATTAACATTATAAATAGAATAATATGAAGTTACAGTGTTTGTTATACACACGCCTACGCGCTGCAAATGAGTGAAATATCCATTTATGTGTCAAATTGACACATTCTTCCACAGATGGCTATATTCTTCATTCTTTTTTCTATTATGAATATTCAGCAAACTCTCCTTTGGAATAAAGTAGGTTACAATTTATTATTTTCTGCTTTTAATACATGACGTTTTAGCGAGTAATTTGCTCTAAATTTGATTATGTTTTTTCAAATTTTGAGATAATTTTTATTAATGTGTTATATAACTTTTATATTTTTTATCTATTTACTATTTGATTGATTTCTGATAAGATAAATTTTTAATGATGTTTTGTTTATATATTTGTTTAAATAAATATTTTAATTTTGTATCACAATAAGAAAGCTTCATGTAATAAGAAAAGGAGAGAGTTTTTATTGTACAATACAGTGAAATCTCTATAAATTAATAATGTTGGAACTATACCAAATTTTTATTTTATTAATTTAGAGAGATATTAATATATCGATATATTAATCGAACCAAAAACTCAATTAGGGACTATAAAATTATATTATTTTATAGAGATATTTAGTGTATATTAATTTATCAAGTTTTAATTTATAGAGGTTCTACTTTAGTATTAATCTTGCAATATATTTCAAATAATAAGAAAAAGAGGGAGATTTTGAAATGTCTAAAACTACATAGCATAGTACATATGTAATGATCCTAATATAAGTGTGAAAAGTTAATATAATTAATTATGGTAGTGTTTAATGAACCTCATTTGAATATATTGATATATTTGAAAAGAACTTTTTGACATTATGTAGAATTTTCCAAAATGTTATAAAAAAAACTTAGCCTTACTTAAATATTGTAATCTTTTAAAAGCGATGTATATTAGTTAAAGAACATCTATATAACTCAGTTAAAAAAAAAAAATTTACAGTATAATCTCTATAAATTAATACTCGTTAAATTAATAACTTCTATATATTAATAAATTTTACTTGTCTTAACTTAGTTTCGTTCAAAATTTAATAAAAATCGATAAAATAATAATATAATATTTTTAGTAAATTCTATAGAAATATATAGTCCCATTAAAATTATATATATATATATATATTTACATAAAAATAAGATTTCTATCATTATATTGTTTGTTTTCTATTCACAATGAAATTATCTTTATATATACTTAAAACTTAATATATTTTTGATGTAATTTAGTAGTATTATATCCTTTTGTTATCAGTAATATTATATCTATAAATACATTTATTTTCTATGCAATATATATTATACACCAAATAATATAATAAAATTAATATAAATTTTAAAATTTGAAAATAGTAATTAATGTTTCTACACTAAAATCAAATATTTTTATTATCTTACAATAAATAAATTTAAAAATAAAAAATCTAAATAATTTTTTTGCAAATTAATATCTATATAAATTAATAAAATTTTAAAATTTAATATTGTTAGTATATAGAAATTCTACTGTATATAACTCTATTTAACCAGAATTTTTGACATAACAATATCTTTTTGTGGCTGCATATATATAGGGAAATTGCCAGAAATAACACTTTCAAGATACCACTTTTCAACTTTACACTAACCAACTTTACCATTAAAATTTTAATACTCAAAATATTATTAGAATTTAGGGTTTTGGGTTTAGGATTGATAGTTTAGGGTTTAGTGTTGTTTTTTTAGGGTTTAGGGTTTACTTTTTAGGGTTTAGAGTTTAGGGTTTAAGGTTTAGAATTGATATTTTAGGGTTTAGGGTTGATTTTTAGGGTTTAGGGTATACTTTTTAGGATCTAGAGTTTAGATTTGATGTTTTAGGGTTTAGGGTTAATATTTTATTTAATATTTATTTTCTGTATATATATAAAGAACAAGAATATAAGAGTCTTTTATCCTTTAATAAAATGTGTATTTTTGAAAATGTTCATTTGTTGATGGTAAAAATGAAAAGTGATATCACCAAAGTGGTATAAGTGAAATTCTCCCATATATATAACCACGACCACATTTGTGGTCACATGTGGCGCTCTCCTGATTGTTGTCGCCATTGTATGCTCTTTCCTTTCATAATAATACTATTATATTTTCTTTTATATTTTTCACTAGATTATGATTTGCTCGGATGCGTGGATTTTACTTTTTAGATATATTCTATATAATTTAGTTTTATATTCATATATTTTAGTTTTATATAGTTTTGAGTTTGTTCAATTTGATTTTATGTTTAACAAACAATATCAAAACTGTTTTTCTATTAATAGCGTCAAGAAGTGTATTACGTAGATATAATCGTACAGTGAAAACACTAATTCAGTATATTTGTTCGAAATGCAAAATCAAAGTCAAAGTTAATTGTTTGTATTAAAAAAAATTTGAGAGTTTAATTACTTCTGATTTTAATAATTATCCAAAGTTTTTAAAATAATATACAAATTTCTAGAATTTTTGGCCTTAACCTTTATTTTGTAGATTATGTCAAATTAAACTTAATTTTGGTCCTAACTTTGCAAGAACATATATTTTATAACAAAAATTTCATAAATAACATAACAAATATTTTGGTAATTTGAAAAAAATTTATGCATTTAAAATATTTATTCATTTAAATCAGTTTTTTAAATTCAACATGGACCGTGGTTAAACCGATGATCCGACAATTCAATTTTGATTTTTTAAAATATCCAAATTTAAAAAATCACTAAAACCTGAGAATAACCTATTAAACCGATGGATAACTGATATGTAATATATAAACCTGTATAAATAAGTTTATTTTCATTGTTTTATGTATTATTTAATTTTTAATATATCTAAATAATTTGAAAGAAAATTGTGAAAAAATATTAAAAAAGTGAGATCTAATATTTTGTATTGTTTGGACATATGATTAATGATAGTGTTGTTTG